AAGCAATTGCGCAATGGGGTGCGATAGTTTGCCTCCGGCTTCTACAGACAGTTCCTAATTTTCGGCATGATGTATATCACAGGTGCTCTGGAAACGTGAAAGGAAATGGCAGTCTATTCTTTGCTATTCCCTCAGCGAGTCTTTCCTTGCGTCCGTTTAGACTATCCGTTGTTCTCTAACTTTTATATCCCAGGGCATAGTTCGCGCCAACAAGAGGGTAGTTTGCGTACTGACTGTATTGCCTGAGACGCCCTGAGGGCTAGAGCACGTTGGGTGCTTCGACGGAGCCTGCGGCTGAGGTTTTAGGTCGAGTCCAGGCTGGAGTTCTAAACAAGACAACGAACTCCGCCATCGCCATCAACAGTTTTCTCTTTTCCACTTTAAAACCGTGCGCATTCGACGTTATTTTTGATAGGTCCGCTCATACTTTCCAACTTTGACTACCGCATTCTTTATGTGCTTTGTTTCCGGCATGGCCTGCTTTAGCTAATCCCCAAGAAGTTGGTACATAAGCAACCTTTATTCGTTGGCTATCGATCCCGATTACAATATCGGGACATTTTTTTCCCGCCTAAGGGGAGCACTTCCTCTGACTTTTCTTCGTCAGCGCGAACTTCAGGCTTCGTTATTTTCTGACCTAGATAGCTATTTTAGCTAGTTTCTGATTTATGCGGCTCTCCAATTTTTTCGCTGTACACCCCACTACCGTTATCGCAGGGTCTTTCGTGTAGGGGATCAGGTTCACTTCTATTAGAAGGTTTAATAGTTGCAGGACTTCGTTGTACGCCCGATTTCTACGCAGGAGCACCGTGATACCGCCGAGACACCGCCGAAACTCCGGCAGGCATAACGGACAGCACGCCGTGGTTCATCAGTAGCCGACCGCTTAGATAGCTTAAGATCATGCGTGTAACACACTAAGGGACATTATTTTCTTCCAGCACTCCTGAGTCTTCTTCCAAAACAGACTATTGAGTGTACTTTTTAAATCTGGAAAAATCGTTCAAACAAGTCTCTTTGTTTGTTTGCTTTCTGTCGCTTTGTCGACGATTCGGAGAATAGTACTGACCGATACTTTTTAGACTGTTTCTTTCCGCAAAGCCCCGAAATTTGCCCTCAAAAATAACCTTGAGCCCTTCGTAGCCATTATGGTAAGGAAACTGAGCATAATGAGCCGGTGTCCTTCAGGATGAGTGCAACCTCTCCAGCATTTTAGGATGGCGGAAACAGTTCGCGTCGTGTGATGGCATATCGAGCTGCTTGTCTGGGCAGCTTGTTAGAAAAAACGCGCTTTGATTAAAGTCAACGATTTTGGTGCGTGTTACCGTCACCCGGCAGACTGTGTTTCATCTATTACTACGGGGGAATATTTTTCCCTCGTCTGTTTTTTTGTAGGAGAAAAGCGGCAAAAATATGATCATTACTCGTTTAGTATTTGTCTCTTGTATTGTGTTCTCATTATTTTTTCTGATTTTTCTCGGACGCGCTTTGGTTATCTATGATTACTCATAGTACTGGCATTTTGTGAACGTGTACGTAGTAGATGAGGTACTCTAGAGTCATTTTGAAGCACGATCTGTTCGGCAAATATGCATATTTGCAAGTCCGACTTGTGTGGCATAAAATCTTCTGGAAGTCTGTCGACCAATGTACTTCGGGCGCTTGAACAAATACCAAGTAGGACCAATGTTACCGTCGGTCTCTTGAGCCACATAGGTGTAATGCATATAGTAATCATTAATAGAACGAAGGTACCAGCTCTTTATTTGCAGCACTGCCCTTTCAACGAGCTGTTCGTTAATCCTGGGAACAGTAATACGAATATAGAACGTTTTTAAATGCTTTATTGCTCATCCGCACCAATGGCTTCACCCGTTGCTACCTTTTCGTTTCATTTGTTTGTTGCCGAAAAGGACGCACACAGTGATCCTGCATTTAGTCTTGATAGCGCGGGTTCAATCATGGAACTAGTTGGCGATTCTAAAGTAACGGTCAACGACGGAAAAGACAAGGCTTTAAATTGTTCACGTTTAGTAACAGCGACGCATATGATGATGATGATGATTATAATAAAAATGGCAACCAATATGCGAAATATCGAAGATACTAACATCTCCTATAATAGCAATAGCAGATCAAAGTTCGTTTTTTGTAGCCTAGTGCCTTCAGAGGAGCAGCTTAGTCAAGCTAATAGGTGTTACTGGCAGCGAACCTAGTTTTTATAAAGTTAAGCTTAGCTCAACCTAACAGTAAAGATGTAGTCATATGTACATCATAAAAATGTAAAATGTAAAAAAAAAAACCTGTTAGACCAATTAGGAAAACTTTCCACTTTAGAATCAACCGAGCACAAGTGACAAAGCATTGAGCGAATGGGTCTATGTGGAATAAGTTACGAGAGATCTTGAGGACTGGTTTCTGCCAGAATGCAAAAAAGTCAAGTAGCAGAATTTGTTAACCGAGACTTGAAAACTTATCGAAAACACACAAGTGCCTATGCGCGGATAAACGTAAGAATCGCCACGAGAAGCTCAATGGAAACAGTTTGAAAGGGAACTGGATAATTGCAAGCGGCATATTCAAAACCATCACCAAAATCACCGATTACAACAACAGTCTGGTCAGTCAATAACCAGTTCTGGCTATGGCCATTGTTGATCAATGAGCCAATCTGCGACAGTATCTTTCGAATTAATAAATTATATATAGATAGACAGAAACGACAAAGTAGCTACTATCCATGAGGCTTACATGAGTTCACTGTCTCGAAGGTAAAAACTATAAGTATATTCATAATAGCCAGAAAACGTGAGGCTTATAGGATCGGTCCTATAATGTGCGTTTAGTTAGAAAATAATGTTTAAAAGAAATTATGTCAAACTTAGCTAGTGAAATAATTAATCAGTGTTTAGCACAAAAGACGTTCGGCTGCACGAAAGTGAACAGCGATGATCCGAAACTATGTACAAAAGGCACTTTCAACCATAGGCGGTTATATACTATATACATTTTCTAGCTAATGAATGACAAGCTAGGAGAGTATCTGGCAGAGTCAGTTAACCAGTTGGATTCCCGCAATCGGTACGCTACAGATCACTTGCGCACCCATATCAAAATGTAACAAGAACGGTATACGGCCTATCGCAATTTATAAACAAGAATGTCATCTATATTTCAATATCGTTAGCCAAATTTCGCACGCGTTCAATCTGACTCGTGTAACAAAAACCCAACAACGAGAAAAGGTCACGCGTATTCAGGCTACACAAGTAGAAATGTGTGAGGAGAAAAAAAAAAAACCCTTTTTGATCGCTCCCCACTTCTGCGTTCAAGCGATCACCTGCTTTATGCGTATACTAAGAAGCTTTGCAACAGCTAATCGGTCTAATTTTCTCTACGCATATAGGGTCACGAAAAAATCTTTTGGTGTTCGCTTTTGTGGGACATTCGCCGACCGAGATCTTTTTGTCAGCTTCTTCGGTATCGAGCGCCACAAACTGCGTTCGCTGCCAGTGATAGTGATGGAGCTGGAGGGCTACATAAGAAGCTGAAAAAAACACCTCTCCCGGCAAAATCATATATCAATGTCCAGGCACGAATATACGCGAAGAGCCGCGTAAATTATCATATGCCTCAATTTTGAGGGTATATCGGCCCATGTATAATGTGAGAACCGCCCACGCATGAATGCTAATCTTTTACGGAAACCGTCGAACGAACACAGCTTTATGCGGCGATAAACATTAGTATCATCAAATCAGAAATCTAACTGGACGCCTTTACACCGTTCGAGAAACGCTTAAAGGATCAATAGGCCAACAAAACCGGACGTTCCATCTTGCGCCGTCTAATAGAACTAGGCATAGGGGACGCAAGGAGCAAATTGAATTTATTTCAAATAAATTAACCATTTGCCTTATATCTGAACCAATCATTTCGTACTACACTTCGCCATGTAAATTCTTTGCCTTAAAATAGGGTCAAGGATGCAGCCAGATATTGATACGGCCAGCAGTACGTACTCAGACGTCTGTAACTGGAGTCGTCTTATCACAACAATAACAGAAAAAACATGGCTAACCAAAGCATAGCAAAAGATACGGTAGGATCATATAGAAATTACTAAAAGTTGAAGCTGCCCATTTAGGCCAGAAGAGTTTATTACTCAGTGCCTTTTTAGGCAGCGCAAGATCCAGCCCTATTGACCTAGATCGATATTGGTTCATAGAATAGACAACGCACAGAACTATCATTGCTTCTAAAGCTATAGGAGCGACTTCAACGCTATACCGACTCACTCGTAGGCCGATATCTTAGTCGGCATAGTATTCTCATTATGAATATGCTGACGATACAGTCGCAGGCCCCTTTATAGCGTTTGTAGCACGCCTTTGTCATATGGCATCGGGGCCATCGTCGCTGCCTCACAAACAACGAACCTCCTTTAGACACCTCCAAGTGACTCTGAAGTATTGCGTTAAACGTGGGTTTACCTGAATTCGTTCGCCGCATCAGTTGTCACTGAAGGGTTTCCAGAGTGTTTAGTTTAATGTTATTTATTTTGATCTCTACTTTTTGTCATTATAAAATAGAACAAGTATGATTTAGACTTACAAAGCTGTCGTAGAAGTAGAGGATTGATACTAGTGACTTGTGTAATGATGAATTTCCTGAAGATCTTATTGGGGCTATGAGGGATCGGCAAGACGAATGAAAACGTCATCGTTTTTTACCTACCATTTGCAAATGAAGTATACATTACAACTTTATAAGTGCAAAGTGGTTTTCGCAAAACCCAATAATTGGGAACGAGTGGCGAATATAGACGCCTACAATCAAAAAGTTACTACTTAGAATAAGAGTATCGCTTACTATTGCACTTCCTGGCAGCGTAGGTTAACGTCACTTACCCTTAGCGCAACTTAAAGCGCTAGCTTAGAGGTTAGAATCGGTGAATTATATTTTTTGGGTACAATAATGCCGTACAGGTTCTTCTATGTTGTCACCTTTTAGATAATAACGAAGCAGACCATTAATAGGAAATAACTATTGTACCAAGCTTCCCGAAAAGCCCCTTTAAACTCTGTTTCAAAAAAAGGTTTGCCCATGAATTACCCACGTTACCAAGCGATCAACGAGTGAAAATCATCCCCATATACTACGCTACGGTGAGCCTATAGTTTTGCCAAACCAACAACAGGTATGCTTCTTCAAGCATCCTCTATTGACATGTGACTGAATTGGATTTGTATCATATTATGCGGTATACTATACAACTGTAAAATCACTTAAAATGTAATATCTCCAACTAGTTTTTTTGAAAAATTTTTTTTTGAACTCGCGAATTCGCTAAGAATGTGTTTATGCACAAACGTAATAAGGGGTGAACTTTACTGCGGATCTATACAAGGCATATGGGAAAAACATGGACGTAATAATCTTTACCGACTGCGAAACAGTAAAAACCTAACTTCCGTAGAACCTACTGCAACCATACCTTCTATATGATAGATACGGAGTTCCACAACTACTTGTACGATCACTACCACCGTATTCGATCGACTTCATATGATTAAAATTTGCTGCTAGTCAGGTGAATTAGAGAACGATTGGAACAGCGTTTTCGAGAAGAGGTCCTATCAAAAGTGTACGGGACCAACAATGTTTTGGGCAAGTAACGTTGCCACCGTGTCCCGAAGTCGACGGCTTTCAAAGGTCCTGAAAAGAATCTGTACGGCAAGGCGAAAGATCCACTGTAGGCTTGAAAAGGGCTCTATATAAAGGTTTCATCAAACGGACTAGGTAAAGGAGTAATCAAAAAGAGAAATACCTGTAAATGCATGGTATATGATATGGGTATTTGGCGTTAATTTTGCCTTTTTTGGATTAGGAACGCGAGTCCACGTCAGGACTCATCTACCAAATGTTCGCTGACGAAATAAGATTGAAGCGGCTTCCCCTTTGCTCGGCAGATAAGCGTCCTTTCAACCTGCGAAAGCTTTTTTGGCATGCCTAAGCATCCGACCATTTTACGAACGAGAAGATCTTTAGATGATTTAATCTTTAGAAATGATCGTCAGTTTTTCTTTGGAGAAAAATTTTAGAACAATTGATGCTACCGTACCTGCTGTTGATAAGCTCATATTCTTTGTAAGTGCCGTGGCTGTCGAGATCTCCTCGTTGCCGATAAAATTTTACCGCATAGTATAACAATGATTACTACAGGAACGAAGCTACTTATAATTGGTATCGTCGTCAATATCAGTACTCCTAAATTTTAAAACTTTGCAAAAGCTTCCGACGGTCTTTCAGCGCACGGCCCGATCGCATTTAGTCCGAATATAAGCGATTCGCGATAGTGACACACGTGCGTTTGTTTTGCTTGTTTATACCTGATCTATAAGATGCCAAAGCATCTAAATCTCTACGATGCACATCGATTTTACAGAGGAGAAATGGCGCCCACAATTGGATGACATTGTAGTATAGAGCTATTTTTGTACAAAGTTAATTACTAAACAAATCCTGATGGTTAACGTGAAGTCGTTTGATTCTGTCGCATGTATAGGCCTTGGAAGGAGGAGTGAATGTTTAATCAAATAGCTCGATGATCCAAACTTGGGCACGAATCCCGTAAAGACGGGGTAGTCGTACGTAATTGGTGTAAGTAGTGATTTGAACGTAAGATACTGAAATGCTGCCCTCTATGGCGTTTCGAACGATTTGCTATATAGGCTAGCCTTTTGTGGGGCCATTTCGGTCATGGTTGAACTTTTTTACGTGCAGCCGTCTAGTGTTTAATATGATCAGCTGTGACGATACGACTTTCATACGACACTAACTTTTTGTGCCATGTATTTCCATGCCATTTCTTAGCACATATCTTGCAATCAAGAAAAGAGCTACTCTTCATCTTTTAATTCATAGACTAGACGTCTAGCCGGCCAAGATTCTACGATAGGATGCGTTTTTGAAATGTAGCTTTATATATATATATATAGAAAATTCAAATACGCTTTTGTCAAGGAGGAGGTGGACAACGATACGGCAAGGAGTGATTCATTCCCAGTATCTGAAATACTGGATATAATGTAAGCGCCGTTGCCGCACATGCGTCTGTCTGGACGTGCTTTACGTACCAATATAATAATTTATAGGTTTCGTTCAAGCTATGTTCGGCTTAGGTCCAATCGCAATTTGCTGGTTTGAAAATTTCGTCCATATGAACAATGATTTACAAGATACTCTTTTGGCAAAAATATCGCTGGTGTGAGCCAAATAAGGTCAGATAAAGCGGGGCCAAGACGCGCGCGCACGGGGCGACCAACCAGCTACCGCCGACTACCAGCTTCCATTTGCTGATCGCGTTACGCAGCTAGTGTTGAAGCAGTTGTTGTTTTCCCGATAGCGATGTCCATCTCTAATTTTCCACCGTTAATAATATGATCTGATCAGAAAATTCTGTCTTGTTGAAATTTCAACAGAGATAACAAGTAAACTATCGTCGCTATTTGGCACAATCAGAAACTAAGAATAACCATGTTTGCTCTGATTGAAACGAACCAACGGTAGAGGAAGTCGAAATTCTGGGAAGCTGATAACAGTCCGTTAACTGCGACAGCTGCATTTTGTGCGCCATGATATCAATGACTGATGCGAAAATCGACCCAAGATCACATCTGATCAGACCAACTCGACGTCCTGGCATCCGCAAGCGTCGGCGAGGTCTTTTGCGTGGTGGCAATGATCGTGTGGAAGAGGATCCGATTCTCGAATTGTTTCGACAAATTTACGTAACGCTTTATTCCCATATTTTGTATCTGCTTATCGTCGGGTACCTTCAGATGGTAAGTGCCGAAAAAAAAAATTCGCAGCTAGTATCAATATTTTGCCTTGTGTGAATTCGAAAACGCTGAATTTTACATCTCCTTGCCGCGCCCTACCACAAAGATACGCGGACCGCAAAGTAGACACTCAGATTGGTTGTCACCTATAGAAGATAAGTAATGTGTTCGAGAAAAGGACTTAAGGCATGAACCTATAGTCAGGTCGGGAGCTGGTGATGTGTTAAGAAGCACTGACTCTTAGCTGGGCCACTGGAACGCTGTTCCATTTTAAGTCTTGTTATTTATGTTAGTCATAAGATTGTTCTGGTTCTGGTAAATCGTAGAGCTAAATTTTTCTAAAATACAACAATGGGATGCTTTAGTTTAGCATCATAGAATCCGAGAACGTCATTGGCATTTTTCACGCTGCTTGTTCGCGATTGAGTCGCGGTGAGGTTGAAACGTCACTTTCCTCGTGGCTGATTTCTGTCTGATAGCTATTGCAAACAGATGCATGTAAACATGACGTTGACACGGCTATGTGACATTTTTTTCCCTAACGAATTCGAACGATGCTTCTACATGTTAAACTACATAGAAGACTCGTTAACAACAGTACTTGTTGTGAGTAACAAGTAATGTAGAAAATAATTCTGTTACCGAAATCACCTTCACATTAGTAAAACCTGTTTTGATTTCAGAACAATGTGTGGCAGGATCTCTTCCGATTGATCTATGGATCTTTCCCTTTTCCCACTATACGTCCAAGAGTTTCTCCTGACCGTTCGCGTACGTGGTACACATTTGACAACGCGTACATTTACTATCCGGAAGGGATAATGCCAAGAGGAGAGAATCTCCGTATAGCACGCGACGCTTACGTGCGAGCCTTCCCTCGGCTTTTAGTTTCCATGCGAATGATTGATGAAGCAGGTAATGAGTTGCCCGATGCCAATTACTATATTAATTTGCGACACCCCCGCCGACGAGATGAAGCCCCTCGAACGAATGAGACTAAAAGGTCCCAGTGGATTGTCGATGGGGAATATCGATATATTGAGATCAACTGGGAATGTGCTCTCTGGTGGACGCGGACAGCATTTTGGTTGTACGTTCCTCTAAACCAAAACGCTAATGGACAGAATATTGTTCAACACCGTCGAGTACGACTGGGGGCTCGCAAGGTCTTTCTACGACCACACGTAACTGTTCTACACCGCGAACTACTGGAAGAGAACTACAACGCAGTCAATTGTGTCTACTTCTTCGATGTTCACTGGTGGGCGTTCAATATCCCATTGGAGGCACCCGTAGAACCGGAAGCCAGAATCCGCATGTACCTGCGGTGGCCAAACCCGCAGGACTCGGCACCTGTCTCTCCTGGGAAGCGACATACCGTCCCAGGCACCCAGGTCACCGAAAAAAGGTCTGTCACAACTGGTCACGCTAGCTCAGGGGTTGCGGTGAATTGCAGCGTAGAATACAGATCGAACCATGTTTCGACGCAGACAACAGTAACCATGTGTGGTATGCCATAAACATACTACGACGGAACATCAAAATCCAATGCCTGAGCAAAATCCGAATGATGATGATGCATCTTTATTTTAGTATTACTCATATGCTATCTAATCGTTTTGAACGGGTAAGTTTGAATGTTACAGGCATAATTAGAAGGATAATCTACAAAACTAGAGTTTATTTTGATTGAATAGCCTAGAATTTATCCGCTTGATTATTGCCGGGCCGTTTTGACCTGGCGAGAAAATATTCAACAGTTAAAACGACATTCTTGGATAAAACCAATAAACACAAGACAGGCCGACTGGCGACAGCCATTTGGGGAAAAACCAAGAATCTGAGTATGTATATACAGTACTAGTACAAACTATGGGGTATCACGGAGGGCAACGGGGACGGTCAATGTGGCTCAAGATTGATCGTGTGCTTCGCTTAGAACACATTAGTGGATGTTGTTCCATGATGGCGCACAGGCAACGTTGGTGCACGCTGCATGAAAGAAATACGAAGGGGCCTGGATTTAGATTTGGACGTGAACATGCTTCGTTTCGCTGGGAGTCAATGGAGCAGCTTAGCGTAATGCTTACCGGTGTCCCGGATGAAACACCTACTTCACCACTAAATGTAATTATTAGATTAAATAACCGTAAGACGCGTAGCCCAAACCCCGTTTGGTTTGTTGCGTCTCGCTTCAAACGTAGACAAGTCCACTACGCAGGATAAATATCGAGCTTTTTATTAACATATGCATATTTTTCGTGGATTAAAACAACTGAGCTCGGGTGTCGCGCTCTGAAGTCTTACCCTAGATTTGAAACTCAGAGGTGCTTTGATTCAATAATAATCATAAACGCAACTTAGTGTCAAAGCAGGAATTTCAGGGAACGTCTGACCAGCACATCCACAGACGTTAGTTGGAAGGATTGCATCGCGGTATGTTGAAGCTCAGACGTTTATGTCAATACACACTTAACATATAACTCTTCATTTTAACACACTTTGGCAATTTTTTCCTATTTGGGTTCTCAATTTACCGGAAAAGTGCACAAAAATGTATTATGCACAATTGAGGAGTATCAATTATTAGAACTAATAATAAACATCAAAACGATTGTTGATAAATGTGCTACCGCTCTGAAGACTCAGTGAAGGTTCAGTTCTGGGAAATTGTTTGTAGTCTTGTGTGGGTTCGAGTGGCGCCAGTTGAAGGAAGCTACCATATCAGTCGCTCGAGTAGCTTTTTTTGCCGGTCAAGATAATCGGCAGCTTAGACTTTAAGCTATTGATGAGAAGATAGTTACTGTGGGCGAAAACAGTCCAAAAGAAGCTTCCTACGTCGCTATCAGGACCGCGCTATAGGCAGCAAACGTCAAAGGCAAGAAGACGCAGCCGTGCGCATCGGTGCTGATGTCAGAAGCAACAAGAACCAAATAAGTCAGCGATGAACAGCACAGAAACTACGTAGATTATACATTATATCTATATGTCAAACTATAGGCCTAAATCTTGCACTTGCTGTGTTTACAAACGAGGGAAATTGAGCTATTACACAAATTTTCGGGCCTTAGCGTATTTGCTTATAATTAAGCAAATCAGAGCATACAGTAAATGTTTTACAACAAATTAATATAAGGATGTATACTTAAGTGGCTTGTATGCAAATAACATACAAGCCGAACTTATCTGGGCAGTGTTCGCGTACGGCCGGACGATTGAACTAAGGACACGGTTATTCCAATAGTTTCCACAACACTCGTTCTATTTGTCCTAAATACTGCAAATTTTCACTTAAGAGGCAGGAATCTTAGGTACGTAAGTAAGTTAGCAAAAAATGCTACGCTTCTGTGGGATGTATTGAGTACGAATATATCATGTCGCACTGTCTTTACGCCTCCTAAAATTGCGCACGCTAGCATGAGTCGCTCGGACCCCGTGTCGGTAGGTTGAGATTACCGATAATCAGTTAAATAGGGCAAAAATAATTCGCTGTTATCAAAAGTCCTTAGTAATAATTTTTTTCTCATAAGGGGTAGTTCCTAAATAGCACGGAACTTCTTCGGTTTAAAGGATGGTCAATTAAAAACTCAGAAATCTTGATAGGAGGTTAAAGACCGATATTAATGGTATAATATCGGATGGAGTACAATATATCTCGTTGTTCGTCTCAGTAACTTCTTCTGTCTGTTAGAATGCTTTCGGGGGAAGAGTCTATGTTATTCCCATGAGCGTTTCGTTTCATACACCATAGAGCTTAAGGTCATATTAAAAAAGATATTATTTGAACAAAAGGATAATATAGAAATGTTCCTTAGAGTAAAAAAATGAAGAGTCGTTCCGTCCAATACATCGGTGGCGACGATTTTACTAATGACAGACCTATAGCTTCAATATCGCCCATTGGATCTTCCTTTTAAACAACTATATCAAATGATCAATGCTCTTACATGCTACCGAAACTAATTTTTGCCAAAGCTCATTTTTGCATGAATTTGAAAATTCGAAAAAACCCGCTGAGATGGTAGCCATACTCATGGGTTTTTTTTACCAAGTACTAGTGTATAAGTCGCGGTGAACAGCCGCCGATAATACCGGTATGGTAATTGGATCCCATTGAAAAGGAACTGGGAAACAAGGAAGACACAATAACATCTACATAATAATACTAGACAATGATTCTTGGCAGGTCGCAGGTAACGTATGTGTTAAGTCTCACGTGCGCAAACTGTGCTTTTAGATCAACCGCTCAATGGTCACAATAAGTGTTTATTAAAGCAGCGACTGCCGCCACATCCTTGGAGTCATTCGAAAAATTCAATGGCGCATCTATTGCGTTCGACACGGCGTTTCAATCTATGTCACACCACGAAACATAAGACTTGTAATCCTAGATTTAGAATAACACTACTAGCGGTATCGATTTTTTGGTAGTCAGTAGACAAAAAAAAAATGGCATTCTAGCCGAAACGTAACATGAGTACATAGACACAATGTTAACAAAATATACTACTATATTGTTCTAGTTAACAGAAAGCCAATTGAATTTTGTGTAACGACGGGTTCTGACGTTAGAGATTAACTGAAGAGCTTGGTTCTCCGTTAGTACATTAAGCTTTACTTCCCTGAAAACATGAAAATAACTTAAAAGCTTGTATTGTCGTATACGTAAATTTTTTCAAAGAAAAAAAACGAAAATTCGCTATGTAAGCATCGTTGGGAATGCTCTATGGATGGATGCAAAAGGTGTAGAACTTTCGAAAATAAATTCACCTAGGACGCGGACAAACAAATAGTTATCGAAGATTCTGCTAAAACTTTACGAAACTACAAGCCCCTCGGAACCATTGCATGTTTCTTGAGCTTTTTATAGCAATGGTCTATTCGAGAGTCTTCGAATAACAACTATTTTCCCTGTATAGCAAAAGAAAAATGCCCTTTAGCTGGAATGAAGTCCTAGTATTAGTTCAGGGCACAATCTACAATATACGGTTCAGCTTAAATAATACCGTTAGCAACACATCGATTTAAAACAGACGCGGACATTCCGTCTTTGAGACTATTTGCTTTAATGGAACGATCTGTCCATGCCTTTGAAAGCACATACTAGGCATAGGGTAGGACAAAAGTACTGTATAGAAACGGCAGTGCTTCTCCGCTATAGGCCTGATAAAAAAAATGAAAATTCCAGTTTCTTAAAGACCTGGAGACACCTAACTCACCTGAAACCAATACTAACGAGTTCGTACAGATACTTAAACGCACTAAACGCAGATTATGTACCATACTCGTATAAAAACAAAACACCGATAGGAATCTGAATAAAGAGGAATGATAAAAAAACAAAAGGTAATAGACGTTATTTAGGCGACCGTATTTCTCAATATCTTCGTAATAAATATGGCGAGATGCTGAACCAAGTGTCGTCGGTATGTCACAAGACAAAGTCTCGAACGTCACGTTTGGCTTCAGATTAAATATCATGAAACAGTACGCAGTTTCGCGAGAAGCGTTGATTCAATTGATTGACCATACAAAGTCGTCTTCGAGCTATATTCGCATAAGTCCTTCATTGAAGCTGATGCTTCCACAGATAGCATCGATAGGCCTCTTGGTCCTAGTTGCCACAGTTTTTGTCCAACGCCAAAATTATATACACTGGATTCAAGCATCGGCTTTTATAGCTACTATGAGTTTTATTTTAAATACTTGAACTATTTTTTGTCGGTATCATGACCTGCATATACGGCTATGAAAAAAAAAAAAGTTCCTGTTATGATAGATACGTTTTATTTGAAGTTAAAAAGTCGTTACTTTTACGCAACAACATTTAGGCAGTGTTTTTTTCTTCGGCCGGGACATTCTTTAAGAATCTTACCCGTACATGTTTAATTCCCATCGTATTAACTACTGCCTATAACGGCCTAACACTTTATTCCTCCCTGTGTTTTCCAAAGAGACCTATCCCGAAAGTAGCTGTTCAAGCCATTTAAGATCCACGAATCAAAGATCTACGAATAACAATGTTAAGCCAGCTAGTACTGATAGAAAGCAAAAATTAACGAAACTCGACCAGAGTGGCAATATTGATCTACGTACAACAGCGACTACGTACGACCATGTCGCTGAGTGCGAACAGTGAGCACGAGTTGTTATCACACTTAATTGGACCAGTTCGACGTTTTGGCGTCCGCAAATGTAAGCGACGTTTCCTGCAGGGTGGTTTAGATCCTGTGGAAGTGGAACCGGGACTCGACCTATTCCGACGAATTTATTTAAAATTTTATGATCATATTTTGTATCTGCTTCTTGTTGGAAAGCTTCAAAAGGTAGGTTGTCGAAATGTTTCGTATTTTATAGTTTCCCTTATACGCGCACTCCACGAATTAACATAAATGCTAGCACATGGGTAAATAACTGCGCATACACCTCGGCTTCGGAGCGTTTCAGTTTTAACTATTTCGAGATTCGGACGTATCACTATCTTCCACACACATACGAATCACAAACATAACTTTGTCTTGAACATATGGACTGTTACTGTTGATCTAATTGTTTTCTGTTTTCCGCTATGATGATGTTGACATTACGTTGTTGTCCGTTTTTCATTGCAGAATGACTTGTGGCAGGAACTATTCCGCTTAATTTATAATAGATTGCCTTTCCCTCGTGTAAGTGAGAGAATTTCGTCTGATGGCACGCGCACGTGGCACAGGTTTCAGCACCATCCTCTTTCGCCGGAAGATCATATGCCAAGCGGAGATACTCTTCGCGTTGCATGTAACGCTTACACACGAGCCATTCCTCGGCTGCGCGTCTGTATCGGAACTATTGATGACGACGGTAACGAGTTGGAACCCAACAATCACTGCATTTATATGCAACAGCCCGGTGAAGGTCAATGGATTGTTGACTGGAACTATCGAGATATTAAGATAAACTGGGAAAGTTCAGAATGGTGGCTGCAAACTCGATTCTGGTTATATACTCCCGACGATTTATATGGCGGCCAAGATGCAAGCCAAAATGGTAATGAAAATGCGGGCCAAAACGGCAACCAAGACGAAAACAAAGGCAGAAGTCAAGATGATGACCCAGAAGAGGGTCAAACCGGAAGTCCAAACGTGGGTCGAAATGCAGATCTGCCCGAACGCCCACCCGATAACTCACGGGCAGATCCAAGTTTAAAACAACTCAAATTCCGCAAAGTAGAACTTGAGCCTGAGGTGCTCTGCAGCAACCATCATGTAGCTGTTCTGCACGACGCATCTGAGGAGGCCGAGGAGTTCGCTCTCAACGAAATCAAATGTGTGTATGTTTTCTATATCTATTGGTGGGCAGCCGATCGCCCAAGGGCTGAAGGGGTGGCTCCGGAAATAAAGCTTATTGTGCGTATACACTGGCCGTATTTGCAGCAAGCTCTACCTACGGGTACAGAGGAGCCCACCGTTGAAGCCGGAAGTTTAGTTACTCCAAAAGTCAACGTAAAATCCTGGCTCGATAAACGACTGAAGCATCGCGAAATAAGTTCGCGCGGTTTAACTTTGCTTAGTGGGCAAGGCAGCACAACTGAAGATCTGCACTGAACAAGCGACATCAATACCAATTGCAACGATAGATATTTCTCTTGTAATATAAATTAAATGATTATAAAATCGTGTGAGTTGTGCGTGTCAATCTAGGGTCAAAATCAATGATAGGATGTGCAGGCTAACAAATGCGTGTAGGTGTGCTTGTTACAGCTGTAATCCAGTCAATATCAGAGTCATTTCGGATGCATAAAACCGTGCAGTCTCCAATTCCAAATCGTGCGACAGTGGTAACGGGTTTGCCTGCTATACATACAGGCGCTTACTGGCGTAGACGCAGTTTGTTTTGTGGTAAGGGACAGCCACCTGAAGTTATGCTTGGCAGTAACTTTTTTGAAAGGGTTCACTTTTACAGCATAGAGCGGGGTGAACAGAAAGCGTAGAACTTCCCCGGAAAAATGTTAGAATACTTATTTTCGGAGCTTCCGCTGAAAATTCAGGGTTGGTGTCAGCTGCGCCTCCAATTACGGCGTGTATTTCTTAACCTGTTTATTATGAAAACGAGAACCCAGCGGTAATCGTTAGGCTGGAGTTTGGCAATATTGAAGCGCGAGATATACGAAAATAGCGTTTTCTAGAATCCACAACGTCTATTCGGGTAGCTTTGCACTCCGTAAATACACTGACAGCAGTGATTTTAATAATTAAATTCAGCCCAGCGAAAAAAGTCCGAGAAAAAGTGTCTTTTTTCACAAAGAAGCAATTTTCTAAGTAGAATCTGATCCGTCCGTTTTGGTAAATCAATACATTTCTTTCAATGACTTCTCCCGTTTCTTTCATTACTTTAGCTAAATCACGTTAGCACTTCATCATTAATATATGAAACATAAGCTATCTCCTCCTATGATATTAATTATGATCACTATGACAAGGAAGAAGGCCTGTTATTTGTATGTAAGTACTTCGACTGGCAATAACTTACTGTTGGACCTATGACCAATTTTTGCTGGTATTTGGGCATCGTCGAAGGATATACAAATCCGACAGCCGGCAACTATGAAACTATTATACCACATTCTTTAAAGACTTCCCCTTAGCACAATTATTTCACCGAATATTCTATGGGTTTACTTCGCCAATAAGGTTTGTGAAATTAAGGAAAAGAAAAATATCTTTACAAAAATCATACCTCGATGCGTTTAGTCATCGAACCAAGCCAAACACACCGTTTCCGACATCGTCAATCATAGTATGTACTCTAAATTTTATCAAACAAATCATCGTTCATGTGAAAACTTCCAATCTACTAAATGTATCCTCATTGTTTTTTTCAAATGGTCCATTCAGAGCCAAGTCTTCACAGCTCTACAGGAGCTCGTCTAGGAGTTTGCAAAACGATGTACGATTGCCAAAAATAAAAAAAAGCGCAAATACTATTATTCCTTACAAGTGTTTAGTTAGGTCTGTATAATTTAACACGTCGTCGCCGGCATGCAAAAAGGACACAATATAACGGAACTGTTATTGTATGCGCCTTGCCAGGCTGTGCGCGTTTATCAGCGGTCACGCTCGCCAGCGTGGATATTTTTGTTTTCTCAAGCTAGTCCTTCGAATTTTTTAATGCTATTTAGGTCTATAACAAAAGTTTTGTTAAAACGACGACGAGGCCTTATTTTATATTATTGTTCTACATGTTTGACCTTGTATTAAACACAGTGTAGCATTTCTGGAATCAAGATACGTTACCTAGCAGATTTGCTATCTTGCTGTTATGATTACACAATAATTCCTACATGAAACGAATGCTATAAATATAACCATATATTCAATAACACATTAAAGATTAGAGCACTCGACAGCCACCGTACGGCTGGCGTAATATCAAATATATATAGATTTTTAAACAAAAACAACTGAGGCAGCATGAACGTTTACGTTTGAAATAGATGAAGCTTCACATGGATATACGGATGACGCAACAGTGCCACAATGAGCACTCATTTAAGGTGCGAGTATAACGACGACTAAAAAGTGCAGCTTCTATCAGCTATTGCAGAGTACGTCCTATGGCACATCCACCGCTAGGTACATGGGAATTCAGAATTGCGTTCTCATATAGCGTTCAGATATAGTAACGGATATCGCGTTGAGCAGCGACGCAAAAGAAGCCACGACGCTTAAGAATCATGTCAAGCACCAAGATGGCAAATCGAGGCATAGAAAAAGCTGTCCGTGTTACACGTCAACAGAGGTAAAATACTAACATTAAAAATTATGAAGATTAACGACGACACACGAACGCACACATGTATATACAGGCGAATCTGGTGGACTTTTGAACTATGTGCGGATAACATGGCTCTGAGTTAATACTCTGATTCTCTACAAAACTTTTGCATAAAAGATGGTAGAGTTTACTCGAGAAGAAGTGAGATCGCGAAAATCAAGCCTCAGTGATTACGTATTCGCTCCTCGAAGGCTGTACCGTTTATCAAAGACTAGGGAGAACATCGCCGAAAACGCAAAATGAGGGTAGGTTAGCAAATTCTACTGAGCCGCGAATTTGTCCCAGGACAGTTGAAAATGCGTGTAGTGTATTTCACGCACAGTTTCTCGGTACCTTCATCAACAGAAGACCCCCTGCAGCATACGGTCATCGTAAACAATGCTTGGTTTTATCTCTACCGCCAGCCGGGCATGAAGCAGGCGAGAGAGGTAGGTCACAAGGTCATCAAGGGCATCTGCTATTATGAAAACGTGCCAAAAATCAGACAATGAAGACAGCCCGCTATTTCGAGTTCCTCAGCAGATTCGTGCACCGATAGCATGACAATTGAATGCACGCAGCCCGGTTACTCGATGACAAGGCCACACCTCATCGCCATGCCATAGGTACTTCCTGGATTTAGCAAATGAATATCCAATACTGGGTTTAACCTGCTTATTTTCTCTAGCCAGGTCCAGCATAATAACAAGGCCTTCCACTCCCTACAAAGGTCAATTGGTAGACCAGCATATCCTACTATCGATTTACCTCGAGAAGCCATACATAGGGAATTTTTATGTAGAAACACGAACGATGGGTATGTGGCTGTCCAAAAACTGCTAGAGCGCTAGGTAGATAATAAACGAGAGTGCGTGGAATGCATTAAAAGATGGTAATTCTAGCTCAATTAATTCGAAAGTTATTAATTTTAAGGTCCACCGGATTCGCTTAGCAACGTGGTAGAGTCCTGCTACGTGCTATAAAAAAAAAAAAAAAAAAAACTAAGCAATTGGTAAATAGATTGGTTGATGTTTTAATCGGCCGGTATAGTCAGCACGACACATTAGATAGATGTTCTGGTATATCTTAGCGGTGCAACATGCCCGTCCGATAACGACAGAGACGCGGAGCAGTTATGGACTATGTTCCGCTTTTTCAAAAAGGAAAAGTTCGTGTACGTCTGTCTCTAAGTTGCTCATATAACTACTATCATGTACAACATACTCAGTAAATCACGTTAGTCTACATTGTGCTTGTGGCTTGTCCGAACGGAACGCTATTTGGCCTTGATCGATCGGTTTGCTCCACCGCTCACATTTTTCCTTAATGCCGTTCAATCTGAAAGATTTTGGACTTCGATAGAAAATCGCAACATGAAAGTTGAGAATCAATTGTTGTCTAGCAAGGAACTTGACACAGACGTCGTTAGCTCTAACAGTAATTCTTTTTAGTAAAGTTACTTTATTTTCTGTATTTAAGGATCAACAATGCCTTCTCAGAATAATCCACAGAAAATCTCATATCTGTTCTGCGTGCCTTCGTGAGCGAGTGTTTTCAATTGTTATGTGGAAAAAAAGCTTTTGCGACAAATACCATGCAGCGACAGCCACCTGCATTTCATATTTTTAGGCAGAGATTCTCTCAGCTTTAGACCGCTAACTCCTATTGATCAGCTAGGACCTGCTGATGACAAGGTTCATATTTAGGTTGAGACCCATAATGCTTTATCCATGCTCATTTTCGACATGCACCTCAGACCAGTGCGCCTAGACGTCTTCTAGACTTGACATGAAGTTGTCGGTCTCCAGCTATATGATCAGAGAGATTGCGTGGGACGAATCTCATTTATGAATTGATTAACGGTCACAAATGTCTTAATACTGATGAAACTATACAGTCTTTGGTAAGTCATGTCGTTAAATCGAGTATTCGTTTCGTATTCTCGCTAAAGGCTGTCATAAATGGATTTCAGATGACAACATCTCAGACCTTTTCTAACAATTAGATATTAGCGCCACACTTTTTCTACGCGGATTCTCTAACAACTGTAACATTTATCGCTTTGACGCTAAATATAAACGCAACGTGCCTAAATTATGCAACACATTCTTATTGGAAAATGTTCCTTGGCCTACCAGGCGCGTTCATGAATTGAGTTATTATCACATAGTTACCATAGCGACGACTTTCTTTAGTAACGAATATAGTTCTATTCTATCGACGGTACGTTTTCGTCCTTGCTTAAAAACAGATATTGAACACGGATAAGAGGAACTTGCTTATTAACCTACTCTAGTATGTGCACGGACTGTCGCATTGAAAATTCGGCCGCTTAGATGGAGCGGATTGGTACGTAAACGGTAATGGACGAAGAGATCTGAAATTCATTCTAAGAACAAAAGAAGATGAAAAAGGCTAGAACAAGGAACTGGGCGAAGTCTAACCCAGTGACTTTGAATCGAGGTGTAAATACTTGCCAAGAGCTTTTTCTAAAAGGTAACGCGAAGAAAACCGATCAAGAACATAACAACTTATTCCTAGATATTTTTATAACGTATCAGGCTCACTTCGCACATGTTCTCGTTGTGATGTAGCGTTTTCGGGTACATGAAATACGCATGGATCTACACACGTAAAAATAACGAACGCCTACATAGTTACAAAGCAGAAAATTCTGTACCAAAGACACGTTGTTTCTGCAAACAAGTATTTTCTCCTACCTTAACTTCGCGTGAAAGTTCTGTTTGAATCCGATCCTTGCTAGCGTAAAGGTGTCACTCAGGAGGCGTTCATAACAGTTTATCCCTACCAGCCGCATCAAATGAATAACATTGTTATTATGTGCGTACCTAAGTTACGCCTGCA